AAAAAGGAAAGGGAAAACACATATAGATTTTTCTGTCTTGTCCTTTCACAAAACATTTGCTTATCTACTGATATTTGAATACCTGTGCCTAATATATAATTTGCAGAGTTTGAACTCTTGAATGTTTTTATTTGAATAAATACGATACTCGTGCTGTACTAATGTTTCCTTTATCTTTATGCATAAACCAATATAAGATGTAATTTATAAAATCCGGAAATAAAACAAATTACGAAGGGAATATATTTCTCGAAACTACTGAATCTAGACACTTTTTTTATTTTAATATGTTCCCTTTTCTATATAAGTATAAATCTTTGTATTTCTTACATAACCTTATTCTATATATTAATAAAAATATTATATATATATATATATGTGCTATCATTTACGGTTTTTGCATTCTTCCTATGGTTACATAGTGTGTGAACACGAATACAGTGTTAGCTGAAAGGAAATAAAATAATGTTAAACTTTAGAGTCTGCATGCAGTTATTCTAGACATCATAATCTATAATTAGTAACATTAGTATTTAATATTTTTTTTCTGACAATAACTGAAAATCATAATTACCATATAAAACAACTTCAAAAGTACTAAAAAAATGGCAATATATAGGAACCTGACCTCTTTCGACCTTCAATTCAGTACTACTATATATTTCCTTATTTATGTCCATTTTTAGTAGGAACAACCTTTATATTCTATAGTAATTCATATTGCTGTACTCTTTCATATTTTAAAAGGCGAAAAAAAAAGATGGCCTCCCGGGCTACTGCACTTTTTCGTTTCCTTCCTTCCTAATACGAATACCACAGAGTGGAGTTGTGTGAGTGCTAATGAAAATTAGGACACCCCTTCCTTGCCGTGTAAGCTTCTGCACTAAATGAAAATATTCATTAGGATTTCACCACTTTGGAATTTTATCTACATATATCACATTTAAATATCAGAAACATAACCTTTTCAGACCCATGACGTTCTCTAGGAGAATGAACCACCTTTTGCTAAAGTAATCTCATACCTCACCAAATCGATTATGGTAAATATCATATTTGTCCTTCCCTGCAGCACGCCGCAGTTTCGGAGGCTTTTTGATGGATTTTTGAAAGTGATCTATACCATTGTTGGGATATTATATTAGTGGTAATGTCGCTTATTTAAAAGGATGTCAACCCTGAATATTACAATCTGCTCATAGGTCGACTCTGAGTGTATCTTTTTTGATCTTCAAATTAAGTTCCCCTTTATATTTTGATGATTACTCTATAAAAAGGACAGCACTGTGAATTTGCATGAGTGAGGATGGGCTGTAAAGTCCGCAATATTATATGGTGAAAGTTGCATATAATTATTTTACTTATTCATAGGGATAATAAGATTGAGATGTGGTTTATTGAACTGTTATTTCTATTATTAACGTGAAACTTTATTATGATATCTCTAATGTGAACATTCAGATTACCCAAACGATAACTTTTTTTTCGGTCAGTTGACATAAATCTTGACGCAAAACCAAACCGTGTAATATAATGTAGTGTGTAAATTAAGAAAAGTATGATACGGATAATACTTCCACTGATTTATACCATGTGGTTTCTTTTTTTTTTTTTGAATAACGTATTGATATCCGTCTTTACCATTATTTATTTTATATTAGTCACCCCGAAGAGCAGAGCTTGCCTGGGAGCAAATTTCTTCCAAATTGATTCGTCAGACAATAGTCTTCAAAGGTGTGCGTTTCTGATTCTAAGAGGTTTAAAAAAAAATCGATTAAGCCGTCGATACTTTTTCCATTAACGTTTACCGTTACACTTGTGTTCTCTCTTAGTTGCTTCTTTCTGAACCCCAAACCACCGCCACCGCTTCGAGGTACGTGATAAGACGCGATGGGGGCCGCGCCGAGTCGGGAGACCCACCGGCGTGGGCTCTTCGTGGTGCCGCAGTGCACGCACAGCAAAAAGCAAGACATCGTGATGATCCCCCTCACGAAGGAGTTCTTCCCGAGCCCGGACTGCGCGCTGTTCGCCCAGTTCCACCGGGCCCGCTACAGCGCGGCGGTCAACTACTACTTCCGCCGCCCCGGCAACCCTGGCGACCTCAGCCGCATCCCCGACGCCGCCGGCGAGGCGGGCCCGCGCGAGGCCGCG